AGACATGAGAGGCTGCGGAGGCCCTAAATGAATGCCAAACCCATAAGCCTGGTCAAGGGTTTAGGGTTTAGGGTTTAGGGTTTAGGGTTTAGGGTTTAGGGTTTAGGGTTTAGGGTTTAGGGTTTAGGGTTTAGGGTTTAGGGTTTAGGGTTTAGGGTTTAGGGTGTCGGGTGTAGGGTTTAGGAAACCTTCAGAACCCAAGACCTGCTTTTCTGTGGCTTTCCTACGCATCCTAGCACGGGCTTTAGAGTAATAGCCTACGAAAAGTAGGTTATGGGTTCTCAAGGTTAACCCTAAACCCTAAACCCTAAACCCTAAACCCTAAACCCTAAACCCTAAACTCTAAACCCTAAACCCTAAACCCTAAACCCCTACCTCCGACCCGCCGCCTCGCTCACGGGGGCTCGCCCTGGCGCTTTGGCGGCGACAGCGGCCGCAGCCGGCACCTTAGGGATTCTGGGTTTAGGGTTTAGGGTTCAGGGTTTAGGGCTAGGGTTTAGGGTTTAGGGTTTAGGGTTTAGGGTTTAGGGTTTAGGGTTTAGGGTTTAGGGTTTAGGGTTTAGGGTTTAGGGTTTAGGGTTTAGGGCTTCGGGCTTCGGGCTTAGGGTTTAGGGTTTCGGGTTTCGGTTCCAGGGTTTAGGGGTTTAAGGGTTTAGGGGTTTAGGGGTGTAGGGCTAGGGTTTAGGGTGGTTAGGGCTTGGGGTTTAGGCAAGGCTCAGGAGGCTTATACAGGGCTGAGGTGAGCCCAGTCACTTTAAGGACCATTCCTCGCAACCATTCCTCGCATCCATGAGATAAGATCGAAAGAATAGTCCGCAACACCCCTAAACCCTAAACCCTAAACCCTAACCTTAAAACCAACAATAAAAGGATGGCATTGAATTGGGGAGTGTCTTTGGGTGTGAGCTGAGGCTGCAACCCTGAACGCGCCCGAAACCCTGGGGTTCATTATGGGTTCATGATGGGTGCAGGGTTTAGGGCTTAGGGCTTAGGGCCTAGGGTTTAGGGCTTTGTTCTGACTCTCTAGAAAAAGGAAATCAGAATTGCTGCTACGCTTACCCTAAAAAATAAGTACATGGCCAGCTCGCCCCCTGTGATCTCACAATTTTTTAGCTTTATATTCGTACATATATCTATATCTATGTACATGTATATATATATATATATATATATATATATTTATATATGCAAATGAAGGACACCCAAAAAAATCTGAAGCCTCGACCAAAGTGTTCAGCACCTTCGGTGTTTTTGTACGAGTGGGGGAGGGAGATTGGGGTTTTGGGGTTGGGGGTTTAGGGTTTCGGGGTTTAGGCGTTTAGGGGTTTAGGGGTTCAGGGCTACCAGCGAGCTGAACACCCCCGACCTCGCTGGCCGGCGCTTTCCCCGCCGCCTTTGCAGGGGCCGCTGCCGCGACGGGCCCCTGTTGAAGTGGGGGTCTGTTGAGAGGTTGAGGTGGCGCACTGCCCCAGACCTTAAGCCCCCGTAAACCCTAAACCACAAAGCGACACCCGATATCCTCCAGCACATTCGAGCGGAGTGCCGAATAGAGAGACTTCAGGAACATGGCTCTAGGTGCCCAAGACATGGGCCCGCATCATAAGGTTTCTGCCCTTAGCACAAACACTGCTCAGCACTTAACTATTTTCCCTGTGCACCGAAGCTGTGCTTTGCATTCCACGTGGCGTAGATGAGAGAATAGGGTTGTGCACACTCCTCTGTGCCTCACATGCAGTCATTGGCCGGCGGGGGCGTCGACGCCGGATAAACCGACACCGTCTCCCCCTCCATACTCATATAGAAAAAAAAGGAGGTCAAGGGTCACCGACATCGCAAGTGACGGGGATTGCCCATCTTCATCAGACATCTTTTTGGCGGACCCATCGCCAGTCTCACGGACCCCTCCAGTGCCGAAGTGAATGGCAAGATCGGAGATCTGCCGGAAATCCTCCGGATTTCTGCAGATGTGTGCGGATTGTCATCCCCAACCCCTAAACCCTAAACCCTAAACCCTAAACCCTAAACCCTAAACCCTAAACCCTAAACCCTAAACCCTAAACCCATCCAGAATGGCGCGTACAAGGCAGACCTCGGATCATTTCGGGCCTCTCCATCATCCGTTCATCCCTAACACCTTAGCACTGGTATGTAAGACCCCAAACCCTAAACCCTAAACCCTAAACCCTAAACCCTAAACCCTAAACCCTAAACCTTAAATTCTAAACCCTAAGCCAACCCCAAATCCCTTTGCCGTTACACTACTACAGCTTACCGCATTGATGGTTTAGATTCTCGTAGCCTAAGTATCTGAAAGGGTCCCTGGCAGGAGAGGGTAAATACCCGACCATGAACTCGCTCGAGGACCCTACACCCCAACCCCGCCCCCACCCTGAACCCTAAACCCTATAAGCCCTATAAACCCTAAACCCTAAACCCTAAACCCTAAAAAAACCCTAAACCCTAAACACTAAAAAAACCCTAAACCCTAAACCCTAAACCCCCCCTACCCACCACCAAAACGACGCAGGAACCCTCTAAAGCCCTCAAGCCCGGCACTCTCGACCAGCAGTTTCGAAACTATGAAAACCTGAACAAGCTAAACCCTAAACCCGATACCCTAAACCCTAAACCCCCCCTTAAACATCCGGCGCATCTGCCTTCTTACCCTAGAACGAACAGAAACCCTAAACCCTAAACCCTAAACCCTAAACCCTAAACCCTAAACCCTAAGCTTGAATAAGCTTCCCCTAAACCCTAAGCTTGAATAAGCTGCATCAGCCCTACACTCGAAAACCTCAGTCCCGAAGTCCAAAACAGCCGGCAAGCACCCTAAACCGTAAACCTTAGGGTTTCGGGTTTCGGGTTTCGGGTTTAGGGTTCAGGGTTTAGGCTAAAACCCTACACCCCCAGACCCATCCTCAAAACCCAACAAATCTCAAATCCTTAGACTTCAGGGCTTAGGGTGGAGGGATGAGGGCATAGCCTAACCCTAGACCACCCTCAACCCAATGGGCCCCAATATCCCCAGTCCAGAGCAACCGAAACCACTTGAGGACCCCTAAACCCGAAACCCTAAACCCGAAACCCTAAACCCCAAACCCCAAACCCCAAACCCTAAACCCTAAGCCCTATAAAACCCCAACTCCTACACCCCAGCAACTCCAAGCCTGGGCTTTCGGGGCCGCGGAGCTGGCCGCCTGGCTTCAGGATGCAGGCTTTGGGGGGGTTTAGGGTTTAGGGTTTAGGGTTTTGGGTTTAGGGTTCAAGGTGTAGTAATTAGGGTTTAGGGTTTAGGGTTTGGGGTTTAGGGTCGTCAAATGAACGCTTCGATTTGCAGTGCAGGATAAGCCCATAGCCCTCAATCTACTTGGGCTTTTAGGGTCTTTGCAGAAGCGTGCCGCCCCCAAACAGAGAGAAAAGATCGCTTGACAAGCTTCCTCCTTTCATAGTCAAAGCACATGCGAGCTTGGGGGCACAACCTTGCGTGACTAGGAATTTGGCTGTCCGTCGACACCCTGAAGACGTCGCAGAGACACCAACGTTAGCAAATGTGCCGGTATGAAACAGCACAGGGAATGCGGGCACTAATGATCTCTAATCAATGTTCCCAGTTTCTGATTTTCCGTCAGTTTGTGAGGTGACCTGTTGGGGTGTAGAGGTCAGCTTAAAAATCTTCTGTGGCTTGCAAGCCCTAAACCCTAAACCCTAAACCCGCTGTGGCGCGGCTCTTCACGCTGTATCCCATCTTTTCGGCTTCTGGCGTAAGGTCCTGAACCCCAAAGGTCTTGCAGCCTTTTCGCTGCAGGTCCTGGGGATCTACAAGGTCTAAGGGTCATGAACCCCAAAGGTATTGCAGCCTTCTAGCTGCGGGAGGTTATTGACACGGTCTATGGACGGTCTACCCTAAACCCTAAACCCTAAACCCTAAACCCTAAACCCTAAACCCTAAACCCTAAACCCTAAACCCCAAACCCTAAACCCTAAACCCTAAGCCCCAAACCCTGAACCCTAAACCCTAAACCCAAAACTAAACCCAAAACCCTAAACTACGTGCTTCCGGACGAGGCTGAGGCTGATGGCATGCAGAGTCCAAAGCATGATGATGCTGTGCTCTGACTGTCCGTGTCCTAGTTCAAGGGTTTAGGGTTGAGGGTTTAGGGTTTAGGGTTCGGGGGGTTTAGGGTTTAGGGGGTTTAGGGTTTAGGGCTCATGGTTGGGATTGTATAAAAAGAAGATTCCTTATTGGGTTAAAGTATAAAAAACAAACTTCTACTCCTGATGGGGTTTAAGTATAAAAAATGGACTTCTATTCCTTATTGGGTTGAGGCACCCTTAAAGATGTGAAATGTTGCCCAACTCTGACAAAGTGTCCATGAGCTCCTTGAAGCACTCACCGAGCTTCTGGCTCATTTGGTCTTCGGTCAGGAGCTTCCCGTCCGTCCGGCAGAGGAGCACGTTGCCTAGTTCATAGTTGGGCTAGTAACCCTAAACACTAAACCCTAAACCCTAAACAAAAAAATGTCACCCAGCCATGACAGAGTTGCGCCGGTTGTCAGGGTCCACTTGAGCCGTGATGTGCTCCTTGATGACTTAGCTTTGGAGTAGACCCTGGAAAAAAGTACATGTGTAGGGTTTAGGGTTTAGGGTCTAGGGTCTAGGGTTTAGGGTTTAGGGTACTGTACATACTTTTTAGGTTTAAGTAGCTATTATAGGAACCCAGAACCAAAAAAAAAGTATTAACGTGTAGTACTCCAAAACCCAGTCCTTGATGAGATTCAAGAGGGTGTTCTTGGGGTACCTAGAACTGAACGTGGAACCCTAGCAGAGATTAGAATTTCAGCTGTTACCTCAGGAATTACAGTAACCCCAAAAAAAAAAAAAAAAAAAAAAAAAAAAAAAAAAAAAACATTCCCAAGAATCCCTCAGGCTATACTCCCCTTAGAACCTTAATGAAAAATATCATTTTAAATTTCCTCTTAGGTTTTTTCTGAACAAAATTTTTAAAAGAAAAAAGGGGGATATAGAAGGTACGGCAAGTTGTAGACCTCCTCCCCGGCCATGTTTCGCCCCAAGACTGTGCACGTCTCTTTCTTCGAGCTCACCTTGCTTGCTCTTTTATACCCCCCGCAATAAAGGCTTAACTTTCAGCTCCATATGAATATGAAGTTAGAGGAACCCTGAACTTGTAAAGACCCTAAACCCTAAACCCCAAAAACCCTAAACCCTACACCCTAGAGATAAAGTTGTAGTAAAGTCCCACCTAGTCACGTCCAGAGTGATGATGAGGTCAGCCTTTGCAGCGGGTGGCGGGCTGTACTTGTACACGTCATAAGAGGGATTGTCGTGGAAGAGGGGGTCCCTTTCCTCAGTCGCCAAAAAGCGTACACTTTCAGTTCTATAGGGGACTGTAGTATCCCCAAAAGTGTAAAGTGTACTCATTTTCGGCTACTTAGGTATCCCCAAAAGTGTAAAGCGTACTCATTTTCAGCTACTTAGGTTCCGTACCAGCACAGTAGATCAACCCCTTGGTGGGCTTTGCACTTCCGTTCATGGGCGGCGTCTCATTCGCCAGAACACCCAGGACGAGAAGGCGCTTGGGCACTTGCTCAAAGTAGATACCATAGTGAGTGGCTGATGTCTTGTGCAACGGCCTACGCTCGTCCTGGTAGTTTTCAAACAAGATCATTCGCCCTCGCTTGCCAGCGATTGTTTGCATTCCGTCGGCATATGGAAACCGAATTCCACCCACAGAATTAAAGTACAAGATGATTGAGATCGTTGGGACGACTCTCCGCGGGTCGCTATTGGAAGGACTTTGCCTCGTCATGTCTAAGAAATCAATGGGATCCCCTGCGGCGACATCATCCACGTTGGCGTGATCAACATGGGCATCTTGGCCGCTGCCGTAGACTTCTGTCACCATGAAGTTGCGGTGATGAGGCACTGCGCCCTCTAAGCCGCAAATGTCGGAGATCCTCTGAAAGAGCTCCTGCCATAAGTCATCCTTCTCGAAATCAAGATTTCGCGCCACGATCTTCCGGCCGCTGTGCTTTTCAACTACATGCCTGTTCTCAGACTTGAAGGCGTCGTCCACGGACTGCAGGAACTCGGCTGAGACGCTGTCATCGGTGACCCAAATTCGGGGATCCTGAGACACGAGCTGGATGGAAGGTGCCATGTGGGAACCTCGAGATTTCGAAACGAAAGATCAACTTGAGCCGAAGCCATGCGCAGAAACCTGAAGCCGCATCCCCAAAGCTCGAAAGCCTTTGAGTTTTTGTACCCTAAACCCTAAACCCTAAACCCTAAACCCTAAACCCTAAACCCTAAACCCTAAACAACCTGAAGATCCTGCAACCAAGTCCGGAACTCCTCAACCTCAACCCAGAGCCCCCCAAAACAAACTAGAAGCCTTAACACCAAACTCTCAACGGGACAGAAAAGTTAGAACAGGGGGTTTAGGGTTTAGGGTTTAGGGTTTAGGGTTTAGGGTTTGGGGACATTACCCTAAGGGTCCATGTACCTCATTGTTGTGTACTTGGGCCCTAAAAGTCCCTAAATAGGAGGTACTTTAAGGTCCAAGTATTCCCTATTTAGGTACATGGACCCTTAGGGGAAACCCTAAACCCTAAAACCTAAACCCTAAACCCTAAACCCTAAACCCTGAATAGTTAGAATAGCGGGTCATCATTCTCGCATAGTTTAATAAGGGAACAAGAGGGAATGCTAGTCGTAATTATTCCGACTCCTACATTAGAAGCCTCAACCCTACACTCTCAACACCCTACATTAGGAGCCCTCACCAAGAGGGTTCAGGACTTAGGGAATGCAGGGTTTGGGTTGCTTGTCTCTTCAGTTTCAGGCTCAAGGTGTCGGGTTCAGAGCTTACCGTAAGGGTCCATGTATCTCATGATTCTGAACTTGGGCCCTGCAGTCCACAAACAGGAGGTACTTTAAGGTCCAAGTATTCCTTTTTGAGGTACATGGACCCTTAGGGTTAGGGTTTAGGCGCGCGAGCGCGCGCTCGACTGAGTCGGCTTCTGGCCGTTGTTCATCGCGCGGGCGTTTTGTTTGGGAGTGGAACCCCTTGGGGACGCAACGAACCACAAAATTGGGGTCATACACCCTCCACTGCTATCATTCCTACTAATGTATATGAGCCATGGTCCTGACCAGCACTCCTGGCCTCTATAAGACCCGCCTTGGCCAGTCATATAGTATGCCTCGCACTCAAAGGGCCCTCTCAACCGAAGAAAGCTCAAAAAAACCAAAAACGGTCGAGAGATCCGACAGCGCTGCAGTTTAGTTGAAAGTCTAGTGTTTCGTGGCAGTAGACGGCAGTCCGTCGTATTACCAGTCTTCAAAGCGGCGACTGAATCTACCACAAATATTGAAGAAGTGTTCACGTAACTTCAAAATTGCATGTCCAAGCCTTCAGCCTCTGTCCTGGCCCTATAAACCCCCACACACACACACACAAACCCCAAACCCCAAACCCTAAACCCAAAGCCCGAAACCCGAAACCCTAAACCCTACTAAGCCCTGACCCTCTCAAACCTTGAGCCCCAAACACAAGGCCGCTTTGCAAGGGCCTGTGCGGACTCGGCGGCCTCGATCCTTCCGCACAAGGCTTCGGACATGCTACGGTTTCGGGCTGGGGCTTTAGGGTTTAGGGCTTAGGGATTAGGGTCCATAACCTACTTTTTTGTTGGTTATTGCTAGAAAGCCCCTTATGGGGGCAACCGACAAAATAGTGGGTTTGGGGCTCTTGAGGAAAGGATATGGGTCGATCCTATGTGTTGGTCCCTGCGGGGTGTGGTTGGGTTGAGCGGTCAGGGTTCAGGGTTGAGGGTTCAGGGTTTAGGGATCAGGGTTTAGGGTGCTAGGCTTTACGGTTGCCCCTCCCCCGCCGTGTGGGGGGCGCGTGGGTGGGCTTAGGTCCGGCTTGCAGGCTGTTTTGGGGTGTCGGGTTCAGGGTTTCGGGTTCAGGGTAAGCTTTTGCGCTGTATTAGGAGTGGTGGGTGCGGGGTGCGGGGCGACTAAGCCTAAGACAATTCCAATCCTTTGACGCGCCCATGAACACCATGGAGCCCTAACCAAGAAGGCTTACAAACGAATAGGCAGCACCCCAAACCCTAAACCCCAAACCCTACACCCCAAAGCCTAAACCCCAAACCCAAAACCCTAAACCCCAAACCCTAAACCCCAAACCCTAAACCCTAAACCCCAAACCCCAAATCCTAAACCCCAAACCCTAAACCCGAAACCCCAAACCCTAAACCCCAAACCACATGAAAGCCAACAGCGACCGACTCGCCGGCCTCTGCCGCGTGACTTCCTTCCGCCGCTCCTGCTCCGCACGTTCCTCTTCCTGCGCTCACAACCCAAAAAACCCTAAACCCTAAACCCTAAACCCTAAGCCCGAAACCCTAAACCCTAAACCCTAAACCCAAACAGCTGAGGCCTTGGAGTCTATTGGGTTTGGGCTCCCGGGTTTGAGGTTTAAGACTAGAGTTTGGGGTGCAGGGTGTGGGGTCTAGAGTTTGGGGTGCAGGGTTTGGAGTGTTGGGGTCTAGGGTTTGGGGCGTGGGGTTTGGGGTTTAGAGTTTGGAGCTTGGGATTACGCTTAGGACTCAGGGTTGAAGAACTATATAAGGTTCTGGGCTTCTGAGCCTGGGTTAGGGACTTTAGGGTTAGAGTTTAGGGTTTGGGGTTTTGGGTTTCGGGCTTGGGGTGTACATTTACACCCACAAAACTGAATGATGTTCCGGTTCCAACGGCTGACGCGACGCACAGCGAAAGGTATAGCGAATAGCGAGTCCTATCCACACCCAGTTGTTAAGGGTTTGTTTATAGGGAATTTAAGGTTCAGGGTAACTTAGAATCTCTACCACCCTCCTACCTTATCTACCTTTTGGGGCATGGCCGTTAAGGTTGGGAAGTATCCCGTGAGAAGTGCCCAGCAAGCGCGAAGTCTAAACAACCCCTTTCAGGACCAGAAACCTGCCCTATGCCCGAAACCCACCAAACCGTACCAAAACCATGAACCCTAAAAACTGAAACTCTGCAACCCAAACACCCTGCCCTACCAAAAACTCCAAGCCCAAAACGCTAAAATCCCGAGAGCCTACATCCTAAACCCCAAACCCTAAACCCTAAACCCCAAACCCCAAACCCTAAACCCTAAACCCCAAACCGAAACCCTAAACCCTATTCTGGACTTGGAAGCCCCCCAGAGCACCCAGAAGAGGCCTCTAGCTTGGCTATCTGCTCCTTCCTGGGGAGGCTTTGGGGTGTAAGGAGTTGGGATTTAGGATTTAGGGTTTAGGGTTTGGGGTTTAGGGTTTAGGGCTAGGGTTGAGGGTGTCAGGTGGGGACTTCGGGTTGAGGGGGTGGGATTTGAGGCTTAGGGGCTGAGGAGTTTGGCGGTTCAGGGGCTTAGGGATTAGGGCTTAGGGCTTAGGGTTTAGGATTTAGGAACCCCAAACCCCAAACCCCAAGCCCTCAACCATGCTTCCTTTTCAATATCCTCAACCCTACTTCCATATATTTAAAACAAATCGTCTGTGGCAATCGAGTCCTTGATCCACGCATGGCGTGTGCAACATAGGGGCCTTCATGGTTAGAGTGGGGCTTTGGGGGCGATTGTCATAGAAATACGGAGGGCCATCGGGAATAGTAGCCCTAAACCCTAAACCCTAAACCCTAAACCCCAAACCCTAAACCCTAAACCTTAAACCCTAAACCCTAAACCCTAAACCCTAAACAACCCCTATAGTAGGGCGAAGCTGTCTTCTCGGGTTTTGTGGCTTAGGGTATGGGGTTTCGGGTTGAGGGTTTGCGGGTTTGGGGTTGAGGGTTTAGGGTGGAGGGCTTCGGGTTTGGGGTTGAGGGTTGAGGGTCTGGAGTTTAGGGTTTATAGGGTTTCAGGTTTAGGGCTAAAGGTTTTGGGCCAAGGGCCCTCGGGGTTTAGGGTTGAGGGTTGAGGGTTTGGGGTGGAGGGTTTGCAGCGGAGGGCTCAGGGGGATGGGGGATTTTGGGTGCTTAGAGGGTAAAGACCAGCAAACGCCGAGAACACAATCCAAAAAAGAACCCTAAACCCTAAACCCTAAACTCCAAGGAGGCCAGCGTCGTGTACTCGATGTGACAGCCCATCACGAAGGAGACACCTGCACACTAAAAGGTGCAGGGAGACATCCCCAAACCATTTTGAGGATTTAGGGTTTAGGGTTTAGGGTTTGAAGTTGAGGGTTCAATTAGGGGTTTAGGGCCCCCTGGGCGCTAAGTAGGTTTCTAGGGGTTCTGGCTGGGCGAAGGAAAAACATGCGGCCACGTGGGCAAACATACAACTGCAAGAGCCCCAAACCTTCGTTTTTTAGTCAGCTAAGAATCCTGTAAAAGGGGCTTCTATTACATTAGCATCTACAAAGAAGTAGGCTTGGGGCTCTTAAGGCAACGCTTACAAAGCAACTTCATGACCAGATGGATTTACTTCTGACTCGGGGGGGGGGGGGGGGGGGGAAGGTTAGCAGGGGGTGACGAACTCTGGCTGCCACCCTAAACCGATTGAACTCAGTATCCCCTCCAAGCATTCTGATCCTTCTTGTTGGGCCAAAACCCTACCCCTAAACCCCCAAAGATCGTACCCCCGACTGTCCAGATCCTTACTTCAAGAAGCTCTATATGGGCAAAGCTGGAGTAAGTCAGGGAATAAGACTCATACAAGTCCCATACCCCAGGGTTTAGGGTTTAGGGTTTAGGGTTTAGGGGTTAGGGGTTAGGGTTTAGGGTTTAGGGCTTAGGGTTTAGGGATACGATACTGGGCCACAGGGCGTCACCTGCAAGATCCACGCTGGGCGAAACTCGGCCTGTCGACTGGCAGCATGGAACCCCCCAGCCGAAGGCGTGCAACATTGGCATGCTCAACCCTACATTTTGGAGGGTCGGGGTACTTATAACCCCAATTCTAATCGTACTTATCGGAACCTCCACCATACACCCCGAAAGCATTTAGTAGCTTTAGGGGCTTTAGGGCACCCGATGTATGGAGCGCCCCATCCTCAACCCAGCACTTACTTCATGGTTTAGGGTTTAAGGGTTAGGGTTTGCGGCTTAAGGTTTAGGCTTAGGGCTTCGGGTTTAGGCTGGAGAGTGGACTCCCCCAATGGTAGCCCTTTT